TAAATCAGGTCACGTACAAAACAGAAGGTAAATGCGTAACAATAAACCCACATATTTAGCAAGCAGCTACTTTAATATAACATTTCTAACATTTCCTTATGTCTGTGTGTTTCTTTAGCTGAAGATGGAACAAACAAAAGAATGACCAAAAAATGGACAAATACAGAGACTCTATGTTAAGCACAGACAGCCATCTCTCACACGGAAAGGGACTGAGGCCCACAGGCACCATCCAACACAGGAAAGACAGCAGGTGGAATGACTCACTTTGGACAACTCACATCATGTCTGTCTGCTCAGGCTATCTGGCCTAAGAGTAGCTGATATATAAAAGAAAGTAAAATGATTTATTGTAACAAGATGAAGAATTACTGAGCGTCTCAGCAACTTAGTCAGAGCAAGGGTTCAGCAAATTAGATTACTAGCAATAACAGCTTTTTCCCACTTTAATGTGCTTTTTTTGGGGGGGGGGGTTGCATTTCATATTCTCAGTGCCAGCAACGGCCCCAGGCTTCAGAAAGTCAAAGTTTACCTGCAGCCCTGCAGTTTGCATCAGTCACAGTGACAGAACCGTATGAACCAACATAGTCTATTCAGAGTTAAGCCCATAGGTATCATGGGCATATGGAAATCAAAAGCAGAAATGTTAGGAATTTCTCTAAGCATGGGTCACAGAAATTAACCAAAGAAGAAATATTAGCTGTGGAATGGGAGATTATCAGTCAGAGCCGATAACTTTCAACTGCTGAAGAAATGGAAAAACTGGGTACATCTGCTGGAAAGATGAAACAAAGTTTAGGAAAGGAAGAGGGAGGGAGGGAGAGAGAGAAAGAGAAATTGGAATTTTATGGTGAAATGTTCTTTTACTGGAGATAAAGAAATTCATTTTTCTAGAGACACAAAGACATGTAAACTAAGACATCACATTGCTTCCCAAACAAAAAGGAAGAAAAAAAAAGTTCTTAAAGAAACTGAATGGCATGGATCATGGAAAGTTAGATGATTTGTTAGTGAGCTGTTGGAAGAATTGCTTTTACTGTTCTAGACCAATGTCTGGAACTATTAAGGAAGAATGAAGTACCGTTGTCTGAATGAAACTGACCACTGTGAAGCTGCTGCATTATATGCAAGGCTTGGAGTAGTTATGGAGAAATAAAAAGGTTGTGTGTGCATTTAAAAATGTTTCCAGGTTTACTTTCAGCCAGTACTTAAAGCTGCAGCTTAACCAAGAAAATTCAAAGTTGCTTCTGTAAAGATAGAAACATTGGGTTGATGCCTCAGATATTTTTTTCCCCCTTTGGTTATGGAATACTAATTGAAAAGTAAAAAGCTGCAGCTAATCTTACATTGTATTGTTCCAGCCATTCGTGTGTGCTGAATTAGTTAAAAAGATAGCAAGTCTTTGAAAAGCTCTAGGCTTCGATTAAACAAGTTTGGTAGGTGGGTAATTTCATATATATTTCTAGATTTTTTTTTTTTTTTTGCAAAAGCTTTATCCATATGGAACATATGGCATTCATAAGAGAGAACCAATGCATGGACCACATGCCGATATTAATTTCCTTTATAAAGGTATTCTCTCTCTCTCTTTCTTAATAATCTAATTCTTCATATTCTGTTAAATAAATATTAAAGCATATTCAATAATCCTTAAAGAATTTTCTGTGATATACTGCAGAGTTAAGCACACTCCAATGCACTTAAGCCAGTTTTAAAGAGGCAAGTTTAGATGCCCATGATCAGGTAATTCACTTGAAGTCTTTCCTAGCCTGTAGCAAGATTACTGTGGGAATGTAAAAATATTATGTCAATTATTAAGCATTTTGCTCAACAGTGCTCTGGTTTTAAGCAGCAAATTATTTCAGCATTGGATATCATCAGTGACCAATAGGGCTTGCTACAGACCTAGTGACTTTTGGGGGGTTCTTCCAAAAAGCAGTACCCATGTACTGTTGAGTGTGGAAATATTTAATTTGGAAATTGTGAACCACTTGCCCGCTGAGTCTACTTCATGACTGCTAGTTATGTTTTAATTGTGCCCATTAAAAATCATGCTGAAAAAATTTACATTTGATAGGCAAAGTTAAGTTTTACTCCCATACTTGTCTCTCTGTAGGTTGCTAGAGGAGAGCATAAGGAAAGTAAGAAAACACGAGAATGAACACAGAAACTGCAGTTCACTTTTAAAAATAAGGAAAACTGATATAACAGCTTATACATTTAGTTTTTTTTAAAGCATATTACATAATGCTTAAGACAGGATTTCACTTACATTAAAAACTAGCACTTATTAAACTAATAATACAGGTGCATTTTTTAATTTTTAAATGCCTCATTAGTTAAGAAAAGCTGTTGGCCAGTATAGTACAACAACGGTGCGGTTAATGCTAACATTCTGGAATCACGACAGGTCTGCCTGTTGTACTGAATTACTCTCTCTACAACTGAATAATGGATCAGAGCAATGTCAAGTTAGGTGACAAATGCTCAGAGGACAGCAGAAGACACACTCTGTCCTAAGCATCTGAGTTTAGCACCAGCAATCAGGCTGTATATCCCACACAATTATGCTCTTCTAAGACTAGCCACCATCTGATGACTTTCTTAAGGAAACAAAGCAAAACACAACACAGCAAAACAAAGTGCTCCTATAAAGCTGCACTATACTATAGTTGGCCTCTAAATGTGACTCCGGATGCAGTTTCCCACAGCAGGACAGTGCAGATGTCAAGATGCCTTTGTGCGGGTTTAATGGTCTAATCAACTCCATAAGCAGATTGTTCTCAGCAAGCTTTTGATTCAATTTATATTTCATAGATGTGATACCTCTAAGTGATATATATCTTGAAGATGGGCTCTCGGAGCATGGGGTGTCAGTCCTGCAATAGTATATTAAGATTTATGCCACCTGTGTTAAAAACATGGATGATTATTGGCAAATACTATTATGGTAAAGGATTAACACTATAATATAGTGCAGTTTTACAAGCCTGGCATTATCAGTAGCATCGGAAGGAGAAGAATTCTAAAGGAAACTCTAGCTCCAACTAAATTAAGAGAAGAGGCTTGGAGCAAAGCATAATCTAAAAAGAAATGCAAAATCAACATATCCCAAAGTGTGGGCACACCTGGTGAGTTAAACACAGGAGCTGAAGGGGCATTACATACAACGGTTTCAGCGAGCAATGTGTTATAAGGATTGTTAGTGCCGTGCGGTCGAAGAAGAGGGTTTGTTAGTAGGTAATTGCCAGTCACTCCTAAAGCAAAAGAAACAGAAAGAGAGACATCAGCTCTTTCATTTGATGCTGACAGTTCCAATAAAGTATATATTTTTAATTTCATCACAAGTCGTGTATATCCCATCAAATTTAATTCAGCTGAACATTTCTGAATGTATTTGAACTATTAATTTGAAGGAAGAGAGTGAAAATGTAGTTAGGTTTCCGTAATTCACAGGTGCTGGCCAAATCCCCAAAGTAAACACCTGCTGAGAATGACATTTGCTAATTTATACAAAATTGCTATTAAAACATGAATTGCAATTAAATACAAAGACCAATGTTCTATTTCAAGATGTTACAACTTAATGTCTGTAACTTTAACCATGGGTAAGCACCAGTCTAGATACATCAACATTTTGTTAATTCAGAGCAATGGGCAATCTCTGATAGCAACAGTCAAGGGTTGTCACTAGCATAGTTTAAAACAAAGTAAAGGTAAGCGATGGCAAGCTGCAAGAAGTCTATTCCATTATATGCAACGAACACATGCTGAAGGAGCAGCAGCAGGAGAGGTCGAAGGTAAATCATTCATATATTTTTATAGGTCAAATGGCTTCATGCTGCACTATCAGCGAGGATTTGTAAAGTCAATTATCTTTAAGTTATCTCTGCTCTCTCTGTAACAAGAATCTTAAATGAACACAATGAAAGCTCACCCAAAAGCTTTCTGCAATTTCAGTCCTAATGCATCAACACTTTTCAATAAGCTTCTAATGAAGCAGCCACATACAACATTACTTGGTAAGAACTCAGCATGTGAAACATCACACCGATTTGGGGTCTGTTATATTAATATAGTTGTCTAAGTAGATACAAAAACTCTACTGCTTTGTGGACATGCCAATAAAGTTAGGTGAAAGTGCTTTTCTACTGAGCAGTCTGAAAGTATATAGGGGAGTCTGATACTGTCTGACAGGTCCAAGATGAGACACAGAGCAGTCTAAAAATGTATTTACAAAATTTAAATTGATTAGGTTCTCATTGTGGCAATAGTAGCAGATATTACATTTTAAATATTAATGCTTTTATCACTACACAAAATATTATTACTGTAGGTAGTAAAAATCCTGGAGTTTAGGGAACTGCTATACTGTCAGCTTATGTTAATCTTATTTGCAATTTGATTTAATTTATTTGATTTTTAAAGCTTACTCTAAATATGAGCAAAGGCAATCTAAATCCTTTTTTCACTATATTACATATCATAGAATTAGTACTATAATAACTAAGCATTATAGTTTCAGTTGAATCATACAATTGGCTATAGTTCTTTGCTATCCTCTTACATATACTGTTTCCAGTATACTCACCACAGTACAGTTGAACAGTAATTCCCTAATTCTGAGTACTCCAAAGCATGGCCCTTTTTTCACTGTAAACTAAGAATCCGGCACCCATGCTTCTTAGTATTACTGAGCACATCCACATTTCATTGGGATGATCTCACAGCATCTCTTAAATTGTGCCCAACCAGTATCACAGGTGTAAAAATAGTTGAAGCCAAATTATTATTGGACTTGCGTAGCATACTAAGCCATAGATTGTTTTAACCATGGCTGATTGAATAAATCTGAGTTTACATAGTACATCAAACCATGGTTTATAAGCCAAATGGCTGGGCCAGTGTAACACATATTATAGCTGGTGTGTGAATCAAGACTATGAACTGCAGGTTAGTACATCTGATTAGCTATTTTTTTTCCTTTTATGGAAATGATAGAAAGAGGCATTATATATTTAGCTGACAATAAATCCTTTTACACTATTGGCAACATTACTTTCCAGGGAGAAATATCCTCTCTCAGATTCTTCTATTACTATTCAGCTTGTGTTTAACATGTAGTATTTTTCTGCTCCCTGTTCCTAATTTTCTCCCCCCTCCCACTTCCAGGAAAAGTTTATTGTTGTGGCAAGGAAGAGCTGCTAACACATAAGGTAGAAGGGAGCCTTAGACAATGATTGGGATTAGATCAAAGAAAATTTTTTTGCAGTGTCTTTATTTTGCCAGAAAAGCAGGAAAAGAATTCCTGAAATTCATCTGAGTTGAGTTGCTTGGTATTACAGATATGCATAAAGGATCAGTTCATCACTGGAACATTTCACTTTCTCCTACAGTGTTCAGTTTGGCTCATTTGGGGACTGGACCACCTCCAGAACTCCATTAACTACTTCCTGTTCTGGAAGATACACTTGCAGAAATATACAAACCACTTTTAGCTTACTCAGATTGACCAGTTCTGGGGGGAAAACAGAATGTTGCAAAGACAGATCACTCCATTTTGCACATAATTACTTGGCATTGCATAACAATTAGCGAAGAAAAACACAGAGCATTGGCTTTGGTGAAGGGAGGTTCGTATTTCCTATCAAGGATAATACATACATTACAGCAAGGGTAAAAAATGATGTATGAAGCTGCAAACAACTAGAAATCCCTTGTAGGGTATACCAGCACTACACACATTTGAACATAAGGATTAGGTTTTTGTTGTGTACAGTATTGATGAACATTAAAAATAGTCATTAAAATGAAAAGCAGTTTGGGTAGATTACTCAGCCTGACTGGATTTTGTACTTTATTTTAGAGATAATTCAGAAATGGCTTTTATAATCTTTTATATACCAAAAAGAGAGAGACTTAATAGCATTTTGACTCCAATTCTCCGTCTGTTGCAGCAACAATAATTAATGTGGGTGTCTGTAGCAAGGCACAATGACATCAAAATGATGGCACATGGATCATGACATCTTGATAGTGCAATTATTTAATGATGTCATGATGCAGTTTGCATCATGTTATGATGCACGTATCATCATTTGCTTCTCCTTCTCTCCAAAGAGGACACTTGTACTTCTTAATGACTTCATAAGGGAATAGCTATCTAAGAATATTTGCTTTGTGTATACAGATCTCTCTCAAGACAATGAAGAAACATTTGCATGTGTGGAGAATGTTGTTATGGAAACCAACTCTTGCTGAATCAAAGTATGAATGGTCCTCTTTCGCACAAAAATCCTCTTTTGCACTGGAAGAATCTACAAGCAAATGGCAACTTTTTAAACCAATGTAGCTTGTGACATCTTTGGCAATAGATGCTCAGCTTGAAATAGTCATGTTATTAATTGTGCAATGTTCCTGTAATGCTGACCACAGTCATGCATTTATTTTGTAAAACTGAAGTGGCATAATAAATCTTATCACCCAATCATTGTCATGGCAGAATTAGACCCTAGCATTGAAAGTTATCCAATAGCTTTTCTGACCATTCAACTGACAAGACTCTTCTCATCCACTGGGTTTGAACAGAGTAAGTGATCCTGCCATTTTTGGGTGAGTATTTTAAGGCTTCAAATTTACAGCAAACATTGTGCATTAATATCCCATTTTCCCTAAAATCCCATTTTGGCTACCTTCAGATGGGACATTAGTATTGTTTAACATATTAGTATTGTTTAACATATCTATTGAAGAGGGTTGAAAGCATATAAATATTAACTCTGAGTTAAAGTGACAAAGGTTTAACCCAAGATCTGAAAAGTAAGCAGAGTTTTACCTCCTTCCCTGGGACTGTCATGTGGCATAGAAATGCTCTACATTATAGACATGATCAGAACTATACTGGAAGGAAAATATATTTGCAGATGCCTTTTATAGCGAGCTGATGTTAATTTGATTTTACAGGCAAACTGTGTATGGTAATCTAATGCATTTAAAATTTTACTGTGCTGGTAGTTCTGTTTCAGTTTTAGAATATATAGGTTAGCAAAGTTTTAAAATTATACTCTTGCTTTTAAGTTAAATTATTGATGAGACTTATTTAAATACGCTTTCCATGAATGCGAGTGTCAACTTTCATCCTAAGGAAGGAGATGAAGGAACTGAGTTTTAAATCTATTCAAGACAAATAGTCTGAGTTACAATTTCTTTGAACAGTCTTCTTTACATGTGTCTGTTTTCACTCAGATGCTGAGATCTTTAGCCTACAGTAACTTCCCAGAGCACATCTGTTTATTTTGTTTAATTACTGCAATCTAAAACTTCAACATTTTTATTTAAGAAATACCATTAAAAAAGTAGAGTGAAATCTATCAAATAACTGACCTTGATTAAGGGTTGAAGTGCTATTGATATCACCTGAGATAAAGGAAGATTCAGATTGTTTTCTCACAGTATCATTCCACATTCTTCTTATTCGGCTCTGTTAAATGTAAAGAAAATCAGGTGGAACTGTCACATCTCACACCGCTCCAGAAAACTACTACTTCGCTACTAGTCTGCAATCATCTAATGAGATCTCCTAAGTAAGCCCTTTTCTTGAACGGAGTAGTACTTACTTCGAAGTCAATGTGTTTCAGACTATGCTGTTGCTTTCCTTTTGATTATTATATGTCATGCATATTATTGTGCTACCGACAAAGAGTGAGTAGTTACAGAGGACAGGTTGTGATGTGCTTGGCTTCAAATTAGCTTCTGAAGTTTTGGTGCCTTTTAGGCAGTGTTTAGCTTGTGGTGCTTTATTTTCTCTCCAGGTTGACCAACTGATGCTAAGAGAGGTATTAACAATCTTGTCCTCCAGCCACATTCCACTAATTTGAGGCCTGACATTTTCATGTAATTTATATGCTTTACTGAAGTTCCTCTAAGCCATTTTATGATTACTTCCCAATACTTCCAGAGAAGCTGAGCTCTAGTATGAAGGAAAGTTAAGGAGTTAAATGTTTGTGGGGCTTCAGTTATGTTCTATTTGAGGAAGTTATAATTCATCAGTACTTTTAGAAGAAAAAACAGACTTGGCTATAGAAACAGACACACACACAGATAAAATGCAGTGGCCTAGTCCCATTCTCAGTTCTTTTCATCTGCCTGGAAAAAAAATGTAACACCACATAAATCTGGGAAAAAAACATAATGTAATATAAACGCGAGGGCCTTATTCAGGGAAACAATTATGCTTAAATACAAATGCATTACTAGTTACAGGTGTCCTTGTAGGTGACTGGGGTTCTCTTCCAGTATAACAACCATAGATTAAAAAAAAAAGGTGGATAGTAAGGCCTTGGAAAAATGTACTTTATATATATATGCAAAAGCTCATCTACCATTTTCACATGCATAAAATACACAAACATACTCCAAATATCTTCAAACATAATCAGAAGTAAAACCCCACAAATAAATGACACTCTTTACTTCTAACAGTGAGGCCTTGTTTGTATTTAGCAAAAGTGTAAGTAATAACCAATATACAGCAGGCCATGCAAGTGATTTCCCAGTAAGTTACCCTAAAGGTAGCCTTATTTTACATACCAAAATAATAATAATTTTTTTTTTTGAAATAGGTATCTGAAAAATCCATCTGGAAATCTTCTCTGAAACTTTTTTTTTTATAAGAAGCATACTTTAGTTTCATATTTGACTTGGTTTATTTTATAAAGTTGCACTCAGTTATTCTCTAATCAAAGAGAATTATTATCTAAATCTATGATGGACCTGTAACCACCAAAGAATTTAAAACTACCACCACAAATTCCAAACTTTGAGAAATTTTTGAATTGGCATACAGTGTGTGTGTGTGTCTGTGTGTATGCATCAAATGACTGTCAACAAGGCTGTAATAATGAGAATACAATTAGTGCATCTAAACAGTACATATCTCAAAGGGCTGTTTGATAAGCAAGGTTAATTAAAAGATGCTGTCATTAGAAGATACCATCAGAATGTTTGTTACCTGAGTGCCAGAGGAGTAGCGGGCACTGGTTCGTGTTGTTGATGCTTTTACCGAACTGTGTGGACTCTCTGTGGGTAATCCTCCACAGCAATATGAATGCCTGAAGCACTTGCCATACTCCTTGCGTACCTATATGTGAATAACAGTGCTCATAATCAGATACATTCATGTTTTCCTTTTTGATTTCTATATAATAAAAATGAACCATATAGCTCCTTAGAATGGGGCCAGTATTAGATATTCAATTAAACACACATGAATATTGTACTTAAATTATTGAACCTTTCTCAACACTTAGTATGTTTGAGGAACTGTACAATACATTCCCAATTATATTCCCAAATATTGATTATAGGGGAAAAATAGTGACACCTTTGGGGGCAGATTATAATGTGGCACCTCTCGCTCCAGAAGTTTTCCTTAGGAAAACTAGCAGACCACCTGCAAATTTTAATAAATAAATATATAAATAAATTTGAAAGAAAAAGAAACATGACATATTTTTCAGTAACTCATTTGTATGTTTCCTAAATACAGGTAGTCCTCACTTACCAACAGCAATAGGGACTGGCAACTCTGTTGCTAAGCAAAGGGTTGTAAAATGAAATATCATGGGACTGTGCCAACTTACATCAGTTCTGTCAGTGGTTGTGAATCACCGCGGGTTGTTAAGTGCGATGTCACGTGACCACAACTTGTGACTTCCTGCTAGGTTCCCCACTGAGTTTGCTTGTTGGAAGCTGTCTGTAAAGGTAGCAAATGATGATCACGTGACCGTGGGATGCTGCAACTGTCGTAAATATAAGCCAGTTGCCAAGCGCCCGAATCGTGATCATGTGACCATGGGGACGCTGTGATGGCTGCAACGTCAAGAACTGGTTGTAAATCTCATTTTTCAGCGCTGTCACAACTTCGGTCGCTGAATGAGTGGTCAGTAATCAAGGACTACCTTTATACTATTCCATTGGCCAGTATTTGGGTACAACCAAATATTAACACTTTTGATGTATCAACTAAATATTATTTTCTGCTGATACACAGATGATCATTCCTCTTATTTTAAGCACTGTGGTCATGACAGAATATTGAAGATTCAAGGCAGAATTCAATAGCTTCAAATAGCTATTTGAATGTAGTTTGGTTTAAGTCACTAATCAACGTTTCAAGACATTAAACATGGTTTGGCTTTCACATTACACTGATTGAGGAAGGCAGATATCTGTATAAACCTACTCAGATATTGAGATCATCCAGGCACTTTTCTCTCTGTCACAGCATCTGATGTACATTTGGCTAGAAATCAAGAAAGATCTTTCTTATGGCTGCACACAAAGATTTTGGGAAATCCCAAACAAGGGAGGCCCCTTTACTCATAGCTTTTACCTGTTAGCAATGGAACAAGTATTTAACTTAAAGAACAGGTTTGTTTTTTCAACTGTTCTTTGTTTTAACCTGTATTTCATTCAATTATGTTTTACTGTCTGCTCTTTGGGTAAGCTCTCATTTGAACCCATCTAGATGGTTTTAGATTACTATGTTATTTTATTTTCAGATGTTATTGGTTTTGGCTACACTTTTTCATATTTCATAGAAAGACAGATAATAAATATAAGAAAAATAAATAGTATTGGGTTCCCAATGAGCAGAGAGCAAGGAAGATTGGGTTTTATGAATGCAGTGTGAAGGAAGAGACATTGTCTGCTTATACTAGTCCTTCTGATGGCAAGCTTTCTACTCAAATCCATTCTACAAATAGCTTTTCACACAGACCCAGCCAAACAATACTAAACTAAATTTGTGCCGAATATGCCTCAAAATATCAGAACACGAAAGGGAATGAGACTACTGATTTCAAGGGAAGATATTTGTGGCTGAGCTCATTTGGAACTTTGGGTAGCAAACATAAACTCTTCTCAAAGTTCAAAGTAGTCAGTTGTTAGAAAAACAACTCAAACAGAACTAAAACCCTGTACTGATAAATAACACTAATATTTCATGGGAACACATAGCTATCAATTAAAAGATGTTAACTGCTACGGAACTCTACTCAACAGAAACTTTCATTGTCTCCCAAATATCACTCTCCAGGGCTGATTTTGTCTAATTGTCTATACTGCTGCAAATATGCATTTTCTGTCAGACTGCACATTCCACTGCCATCATTTCTAAATTACAGCTTGCTGAAAACGGAGGCAACAGAACTATCATCTTGTCAGGATTGGAAACATAATCGTTTTCACTTTCCCAATTTTATTTCTCTGCTCAATTTAGTGACCAGTAGCAATAACCAAATAAAAAGACTGCATTAGCTACATATAGAAAAGTGGAACGATATCCAGCAAAAGAGACTGAAGCTTTTAAACTTCAAATGACAACCTGAATGTCATTGGAAGTTTGAATAATCTTGTGCTACTTTAAGTATTTTTCCTACACTTGACTGGCATTTTGATATGACTTTGTTATGCTGACTTTGCTTACTAGAAAAATAAGGTATGTTTCAAAATATTAACAACATAAATACAGTGCACCTTTCGATTTATGATTCTGAAAACAAAAATCCTAATATCCTACTCTGGAAAAGTGTTCAGTGTTGTCCATTTTTTAAAAATCATATTTTCATCTGGTAATTTCTAATTCTGACAAAGTTATCCTTTCAGATGGTAATCCCGTTTCATGAAAAAGCATTTTATAGAAATACGTATAAAAGTTTCAGTATACAAATTGGATGGCATTACAATTACAAACAAATTCTGAAATGCCATCTTGATTTTAAATGCAAAAGGTTATTTCTCTCTCAATGTTTACTTAAATAGCATGTGACATGTTACAAATAACTAACTCCGCATGTCTTTTTTATCTAAAGATCTTAAAATAATGCAATACTCTTGAATCAAGACTCCCCAAATATAATCCCAGTGTGGTTAAAATGTCACTTGCGAGTTATTAGTTTTCTTCTTTTATTATTTATATTTTAAAATCTCTGACCTTTTCTCATTTAATTTTTGACACAACTTTTTTTATTGGTGACATGAAAATACACTTTTTTTTCTAGAATGGAAACTATTATTAAGTGCATAGATTACTTTGATACAAGCAAAGAATATATTTGACTTAAATTTAAAGTCTCTGCTAGAACCAGCAATTGTTATTTTTATAGCAAATTATATTCAACAATATTTTCTATCAGAGCATTACATGTTATAATAAAAGAGGTATTCTGTTTATATGTGGAAAAAACAACAGCAACCAAGTCTCTTAAACAGCTTGCTGGTAATCAACTTTTGATGAAAACATTCTTCATGAATTCTTATACACAGTGATCTAATGAATACCATCTAGACTAACATATAATCCTTTTTTTTTTCCAGATTTCTCATTTAGAGTTTTGCTGTGTGGATTGGCTCAAATAAACACAAAAAAACAAACTATATGCTAAAATGTATAATGCTCATTAGAAATGTGTACTTTGTGACAAAAAATTATACATGCAAACTTTGTGGGGAAAAAAATTCAAAAACACTTAAATTGCATTTTTGCGCAGATATTTTTAACATTCAGTTTGTGGAGATGGAGGCAACCAATGCAAGGTTCACATTGACAGGCAACAGAATATTTTCACTCCATTATGAAGCAATCACTGACTAACATTTATGTCAATGAGATTGATCAGTAGCTCATAAACATTTATCTAGCAAAACGTCATAGGTGGTGATCAGATTCTATAACCAATATTACACTATGACAAGGGAGTTAGTCATTCTATGCTCCATAATATTCCCTGCAAACAATGTGCAGTGTGAATAAGAGTTTTATTTTTTTCCTTGTTTTTGTTATCCTTCTATGCTTTAAACTTGCTCTATAGCTTCTCGTGTTTATGGTATGCATTTCGCAATTCATTACTGGTAAACACATGTATCTGAAATAATCTGGAGATGTGTGATGACTCACTTTCTTCTGCAGTGCACAATGAAAGATGAAAATAAACATTCCTTGGAAAGCATTAAATACTGTGAAGAGGTATGCCATCACAATAGTCTCCTCATTGATGTAAAGCAGTCCAAAAGACCATGTTAGGCCAAGAAGACAAAGAAGAGCAAATGCACCTAGAGCCCAAGACCTGAAAAATAAAGTAAAATTAAGCAAGACTGCTGAATTTTTTTTAAAAAGTACATTGCAAACTTATGTATTACATTTTTATTTGCTGTGGTTGACTGCTACTAGGTTTGTATTCAAACCTTAAAAAATAACCTTGGTTTTAGCCTTTCATCTATTAAAGGAACAGTACTATTCTTCAGTGAAAGCAGCAGTGGTAGATGAGCTCTTTCTCTTATTCATGATTGAAAACTGTCAGTACTATTTTGAAATGCAAAAGTAGAACCCATGATCCTGTAAGCCCTTTGTTTATCTGTATGTATGTATGTGTGCATGTGCATTTTATAACAAATATTTAATCATTAATGGAAGCCAGGTTTTTTTTAAATAAATATGCTTGAAATTTGACATAACATACACAGATAACATAGATATGCAAGGTTATATGGCAGTATAACCTAGTTCAGTAGCCCATAACCTAAAGCTCAAAAACTCTGCTAAACTAAGACTACATTTTCTAACTTTCATAGGAAAGTGTCTTACTGAATGTGATAAGTGTGTGGATTTAGCCACAAAATAAAATCTTTAAAGGATTTCATAATGAATAGTTTCAGGGGAGTAAAAAAAAAAAGAAAGAAAGAAATTGCAGAGGACAGCACAGAATGAAAAGGGAAAGGGGATTTATTCATTGCATTCCACATCTAACTAATGATCTTACTTGATAAATGGCTTATTATCTTCATAGCTAGAAAGCATTATAAGCAGAAAAGAGAAACAAAATTATTAGACAGAATTTAATTTGAAATTAATAAAAAAGCATTTTAGTAAAGTTCATACAAAAATTAGTCAAAAGGAGAGAATTCAAAGTGCAGATGCAAGCAATTTAAAATAATAAAGGCATATAAGAGTTGAAAATAGTTTAGCAAATTAGATATTTCTGAAGTTGTTCATTAAAATTAGGGACAATCCAGGAAATTGTCCAAATTTTCAGGTTTTTTTTCTTTTTTCTTTCTTTTTTTCTTTTTTTAAAGTCATGCTTTAAATTTGTTAATATAGGGTTCTATCTTACCCAGGTAAGTCCGTATTATAGTAGCCATCACAAACACGGTAATTACTGGTGTAGATGAGAAGACAAAAAGAGGAAGAAAAGGAAGAAAAGAGAGAGATGCTAAAGATTAGCTCTCTCTCTCTCTCTTAACATGCAACATGCAATGAAGTTGATATTGTGACCTATCTAAGCAATATCTAGTTTGCAATGTTAGATATCTAGCAAATTTACCCTTGTCACATTCTATTTTCAAAGACAATTAAAAAACCCAGTCTGCAGCACAATCACTTGGAACTTATTAGAGCTTGGTTCTTATGATAAAATATATTCAGCCCTCCAGCATCAGACAATAACCTAGCCTGAAATAACCCTATGACTGAATGGTATAAAGCTGCAGTAGGCAACACAAGACGGAACGGTTTTAACCAGAAAACTTTAAATCAATTCCATTCGTTGTCCACACAAACAAAGCATGGACTGAAGTTGGAAGTGAAGACCTTATGTTGCCTAGCTCAGCCTAAAGTGTGATCCACCACTGTAAGATCTTTATTAAGTTAAACTTATTGCTTCAATTTCTGGAAAAGAGAGTATTAAGATAAAAATAAGTATTTGTTAAATTAGCATGAAAAGGAACAGATAACCATCAAGATAGCCATAGTAATAGGAACTCTCTTAGGAGGTCAGAATTATGACTGGGAAAACTGCTGAGAACCCTTAACTGCTGAGAATAATTTAACAAAACAAACCCAGCAGAACAACATCAGCCGTGCAGAGAGGAATGCAATTTCGAGGTGCATTTTAAATGCAAATGAAATGACTGTGCTGCCGTGGAATTTCAGGAAGGCACCAAACCAATTCCTTGACCGCCATTCCAAGGAGAAGTTATTTAATTTCAACCCTTGTCTGTAACATTAGAGCAACAAATGTGTTGAAAGCAAGGCTGGTGCTGTTCATTTCTAACTGACATCTGTGGTTCCTGGGAGACAAAGCCATGTGTTCGTAATGGAGGGGAGCTTTCAATCAGCTGAAACAATCAGACAAATCATCACAGTTTTGGATCTGAACACACAGCACTTACTTAATGTTTTCCAACCTGCTAGAGTCTGGTTTCAAAGTGTTTGAGTGCTTCACCATTTTGCACAGTGTGATCACCAGGAAGATAAGATTCAGCTGTCAAAACAGATACAAATAAAATTAAACTACTTCAAGAAACAGGTTGATTAATGACGATGCTCCAGACTACCAAAAAAAAAAAAAAAAAGGAAAAGCTATCATTCTCTGAACTATTATGTGACTGAATATTCTCAGCAAAGTGGCTGCAACAAAAGATTAGATCAATGGTAAAAATCCAGCTAATATTTTTTTCAGATCACATCTTGCATTCTTTCCACTGCAAATCAAATCAATAAAATGCTTGTTTAAAGTTTTCTTTCAGTTTATTTGTACAATATGTATAATGCCTAGTGTAAAATGTTCTTATATGTAATAATAATAAAAACAAAGCAAAATATTTCAATATGCTTATACATCTCTACCCCTTTTGGTCACTTAAGGTGCTTCATATATCCTTTTAAAATATGAAGTGTGAATAGAAAAAAAAAAGTCTGTCTTGCAGGTGAGATAATCTTTTATCCACAATTAATTGCAACAGGATTTTTACTTTTGCTGATAATTTCCTTTCTGCCTAATTTTCTTTCCTGTGTTTGGAAGGAATGCCTTAAATTCTGAATTGTCTCCCTTTCAGGTAAATATATTTCTATGTCATGGCACAAAGTAATAATTAAACACAGTTCTGATATATCCAGAATAAGTCATTATAGAAAAATAAAATATAAATTGAAAGCAATATTGTAAGAAAATTCAAATAAACAAATTCATAACTGCAGTTTCCATAATGGATAGTGAGCCATCTACTTAATCTGTTCATACAGTGAAAATTACAAAATGATTTCTGAATCCCATATAAAATTGGCAAATGAAATATTTAAAATACTGAATAACAAAATCAAGAAATAACAAAATATAGAAGACAAATACAAGGCAATTATTTTAGCATGATGTTGGCTGAGATGGTTTATCATCAAAAAAGTAATTCAGTTATAAACAGTTAATTCATCTAATGGGTATATATCCACAAAGTTACCATCCCCCATCCCTGCAGGAATAAAAACAACCCAAAACCCTTTCCCTGTACAAATCACAGAACAAATTATGGGTTCCTTTGCATTCTATAAATTCCTTATTTATTATTTCATTAACTCTTTTGATGCCAGCCTTCTAATGAACATGCATTCTTTTCATGAGATTAGAAAGAAAGGGCATGCCATAGAATAATAGATTACAAAGTCTAAATTGTGCATCTTTTATTTTTCTGCTTCTCTGATGTCCATCTGACTCAGGCCTATTTCCTAAAATAGGAAGTCTGTGGCCTAGTCTTTCTGCCTTTTTCCATGTAAAACTGTCACTCAGGCTCTCAAAACGTAGATATGTTATTCCCAGGCTAGTTAATTAAACTCTAGGGTCCCCTGTTTCCATGGTCTTGCTATTGTGGCTTCTTCCTGGTATAACTGGTCCTCTTTCTACCTTGCAAAATTGTTGTATGACTTACAGTGACAGAACTGCACATATTTCTGTGTATTGCTATTCATATTGCCTGTCTAGAATTCTTGGCCCCAATGGGTAGAGAGACTACAACCAAGAGGCCTTCTACCTATTACATGGTGGCATTGGCTGCCTCTTGGGAACTGAACCCTCGGCTGATATAGAACGGCTTGTAGAATGACTGGTCAGCATTTTGGCAGCAATGAAATTTAAAGCTGTATTTGACACAAGTGTTTATATTAATCACATAGCATGACGTCCCTTTTTATGGCTTAAAGTGTACATGGTTTAGGTTAAGGCAGTAGGGTTGTTTGTTTGTTTTAAAGGCCCCACTGGGGCCAATCAGTGAATATTGTGACTTTTAATAGTGCCAGAGTTATTAAGTGGGTATAAATGTAGCTATTTCATCTCTTGTTTTCATGTTTCCAATTTATTTGTAATTTGCTTCTTAGACTGCCTAGGACCACATTAACTAAATGTTGCCACTGATATAAATAAGATCTGTAAGTCAAAATGTTATATTCAACTGATTCTTCATTTATTGAAGTTGAGGCCTGACCTAAGGTAAATAACATGACCCTGGTATTCATGGTTATTAATTGTGGAAAGCAGTTATGATTCCCCCCCCAAAAAAAAAAGCGCAATGCTGTGGAACAAATGCACAATTCCCAACAACAGCCGTATGAGGTTGGTTGTCTCAGTGCGTTCCAAGGCTGGGAGTGGGCTTCTACCTGGCCTTCCTTGTCCTCATCCAGCACATTAACTACTGACCACATTAGCTGTCTTCCACACCTCATTTTTCAGACTACAAACATCATCCACAGCTACAATGTGTGGCAGAAATAAGTAGTACTATCTAGTTATTTCAGACATTTTCTGTCTTAAGCCAGTATTGATAATTTAGTGGTTTTAGTCCAAAACACCTATACCCTGTCTCCTGATATATGGCATTTTAGTTCACATCATACTATCTATGTCAGTAAACTGTTAATTAATGGAATTGCCCTAAAATGGAATATTTGTGCAAAATTTGGGTGCAATAAACAAATACAACTGAATCAATACATTTGGAATCCTAAGTTGAAAGAAGAAAGGATGGATGGGAAAAAAAGGCATTTTATTCAGGATGATAAATCTGCAAATGATGTGGATGGAGGAGAATGAAAGTATTTTAAAAGTACTATAAATCCAAGATGAAGTGCCTATGACAATAGGATGCTTGTTCTCTAGATCTTAGTGACAGTAACGTAAAGCAATAAACGCAGGTTCATTACCTGAAAAGCAACACTTAGAAACCCTTCAAATATCAGCAAGGCATTTATACAACCTTTGCCAAAACTGTCACCAACAAAAGAACATCATCATGATGTGGCAGAACCTCCAGAAAGACATCTGCCTTAGGCATCTGTTATAAACCATGACAACAAGGACAAAAGGCAAATCCTAGTCTTCCATACTTTATCCTGACCCTGAACACTAGTACCGTATTTTTCCATCAATAAGAAGCCTCCATGTACAAGACGACCCCCACTTTTCCAACCCAAAATTAAGAAATCAATATTTTAA